CTTTTCATTACTTGATTAGATTATGACCTGGACTTTTCATTACTTGATTAATTATGACCTGGACTTTTCATTACTTGATTAGATTATGACCTGGACTTTTCATTACTTGATTAATTATGACCTGGACTTTTCATTACTTGATTAAATTATGACCTGGACTTTTCATTACTTGATTAATTATGACCTGGACTTTTCATTACTTGATTAGATTATCACCTGGACTTTTCATTACTTGGTTAGAATACAAGCTGGACTTTTCTTTACCTGGTCAAAGTACAATACATTCATACCTCTCCCTGCTCTAACATCTGTTCCTTGAAAGACTCAATCAACTGACTCTGACGATCAATTTCATCATCTTTTTCATCCATTTGTGCATACAGGCGGGCCCTCTCCTCTTCAAACTTAGCCCTCTCCTCATTGGTCATTGGTTCAGCAGACACCTGAGGTGCTAGATTCGGCAAACTGACCACAGAAGATGATTCTGAGAGACTCAAAGTACTGGTCTCTAAGTCTTTACTAGACAATTGTTCATCCTGAGGCACAGCTTCACCTGAACAAAAGTAATCGTTTGTTAATCCATCACAAACTCAAACAGTTCTGTAAACATTCTACGCACTGATACTATTTTATTAACTCAGCATTTCAAAACCTTGTTTTGTTCAAGACACCCTTAAACCTAGTCTACTATTTCTATAGCACCCCTAAAGTTTACAGCCTAGTTAACAGTGGCATAGCCAAGGGGAGGGGGGAGGGGGGGGTCATAGAGATAACAATATTTTGTTAAAATTTCATAGTATTCCTAGAGATAAACTACAGCATCCTAGTTGAGAAACACTGGATTAGCTGAACACATCTGTTCCAGATAAGAATACATTGGTATAAAATACTCTACAAAGTCACACAGAGATGAAAACAATGATGTATGATCTAACTTTGTTATTTTTATGAAAACTCCAATAAACTAGAATTATTATGCATTATCACCCACTACAATTGACAATATCTATGAAAATTAATTTTTTTTGCCAACACTACTCAGCCTATTTAGTTGAACATTTCTTTAACAAGATTTTGTCAAATTTCTATGCCAAAGATTCCCTGTCTATTATTTTGTTGACAATTTCTTTGGAAATTAAGGGCCTTTTCCTATGTCAACAGTCCGTTTCTCTAGTACGAATATTTTTTTAATATTTGTTTAAGAAAAATTTGCTAGTTTTCAATTTAAGATACCTTAACACCCTAATTTGTTGAGTTTTAAGATACCTTAACACCCTAATTTGTTGACAGTTTTAAATATCTTAACACCCTAATTTGTTGAGTTTTAAGATACCTTAACACCCTAATTTGTTGAGTTTTAAGATACCTTAACACCCTAATTTGTTGACAGTTTTAAAATATCTTAACACCCTAATTTGTTGAGTTTTAAGATACCTTAACACCCTAATTTGTTGAGTTTTAAGATACCTTAACACCCTAATTTGTTGACAGTTTTAAAATATCAAAACTGTCAACAAATTAGGGTGTTAATGTCAACAAATTAGGGTGTTAAGGTATTTTAAAACTGTCAACAAATTAGGGTGTTAAGGTATTTTGGTTTAAAATACCTTAACACCCTAATTTGTAGACAGTTTTTTACATTTTTTCAAGTCAACAGTACATTAATCTAACAAGACAGTTTGTTTGAAATTTATTTTATAACACCACTTAAACTCTACTATTTCAGATATTTTCCCCTCCTATTCTGTTGACAATTTATCATAAACCAAATAACTCAACATAAAAATTTTTCCCAGTAACATCTGCGTCTTTCTGAATCAACCCTCGTTCCCGTATCTTTTACTCAACTAATCATTTCACTCATATCCTTGTCCCTAGTGTTGCCCTTACTCTAACAACATTAACCTTTTGTTTGTCTTCTAATCCTTTCGAGATGGGTCATGGGTCAAAGGCCATGTCATCTTGTTTGTTGACTCGCATTCAAAATTTTATTGAACTACTATTTCATGAATCTATGTCAATATGTTTGGTATCAAACTGTAGATTATAATTCAAATTTTAGTACTATATATTATTCAACTTCTTAATTTAAAAGCAAATATTAAAAAAACACACATAAACATCGATTTTTGTGTGCGTCACGTGGTATGTTGAATGCAGCACTGGTTC